TGCTGTTGCTGAGGCTTGTGCTGCAGCGCTGCGGCCCACAACGGCTGATCAGCTGTGGACCGTGGCGCTACGAGTTCGCAATCGGCATCTGCAGCTGCTAACGGATGTTGCTGTAGTGACGGGGCATTCGCTGAATCGTACGGAAATGAACTGGTTGTAGGGAAGTCGATGTGCTGTTTGGTGGGTTCTGGGCGTGGACGGTATTGTGGATGGAGAAAGAGATTGGTATAGAGCGGATGAATGGCGGCGGCAGGCGGTTGAGGTGCAACTGTAGGTGGTTGTTGATCGTTGACGTTGACTGAGGCGTGGCCGTTCATCGGAGTTGACGGACCAGGACTATCGTCGTCCGAATCGCCACCACCGCCATGCTTTGACTCCTTTCGTTGGAGAGCCTAAAGAAGAACAATAAGCCGCTGTTTAACATGTTTACCGTAAAATGAGGTACCCAAAAGCTGTGAAAAACTCAATAATATCAGAAATGGAATTTTCTCATTAAGGTAAACCCCTTCGAACATCCTTCATTCTCGCAACCAGAAATTCTCTAAGAAAGGGCCTTCGGCCTTGGGACGCTAGAGAGCGAGGTTTACCGAGAAGGTGGCGTATGCGATACCTTATGGCAATGAGCTGACTCGTAGACAGGAACTAGAAGACAGCGCTATCCCGCTCAAGCTGATAAGATATTGAGATTACCTTACCGCAGATCCCAGTACGGGACCAGGAACGAGAACGTCAGGAAAGTCTTACGAACTGCTTGAATGAAAGCACGAGAGCATGCCGATGGAATTAACGCATGGCAGGAAGGCCTCTGTACGACCAGATACCCTTTTGGGACATCTGGTGACCTTCCCATCATACAAAGCACTCGAGTTCGAAACGCGTGGTTTGAGAGCCCAAAAAGAGGTTGAGGAAAAGGTGATAAGGGTGGACCCAACTGAAATGAAGGCAGTAGTAATAATTTAGATAGGAAAAAAACTAGCGCTTAGCACGGGAAGGTGGCCCTGCATTGGGTGTGGCATCAACGCCAGAATGAAAAAAGCAGAAAGAATTGTGGGACTGACGTCACCGCTCACCTCCATTATATCCGAATTTGTACGACTCTCATGCGGTTCGTTGTATTCCGTATATTTGAGCAACACTTTGTCCATATCGGTAGACGCATATCTGCAAAAGACTTGCTCATTGCTCATATTTATGTAAATTTTAATCCTATTTATAAAAAATAAAAATTATTACGTACAATAAAAGATTCATACATGTATAAAAACTAGAAAATAATTACAGTAGCTTCTCCGGAAAAGACCACTTGCATAGCCACCCCGTGATCCTTACTAAGAAATGTTATCGTATCTGGGAGAAAAGGAGGAATACGGCACAGAAGACCGCTAATTTTTTGAGCTTTTCGATCGCAATTACTCTTTCCAATAATAGAATATATTTTAGCAAGCATCACTGAATGGTTACAACCTTCGAGAAGTAAAAATTAACTTCATAATAAATCATAAGCAATCGATAACTCGCTCATGCCGAAAACATAAAGGAAATTTCAATCCACACTACATGGTCTTATGAAGCCAGTCCCCTTTTTAAAGTAAGATACCTTGAAATTGAGCAGTAAGTCTTATCAGTAAGGCGTGGAGGATGTAGATTTACTGCTCATTTCCAACTGTCTGCAGTTCGCTCACTCTTTTTGAGGGCATTACCTTCTAGAAGAGCATGTAATTTCCGAATGTCGCCTCAATGCTCACGACATCAGCGAATATCGATGCTCACGCACATATGGCAGAGCCCATCTTACTGCAACCAATCACCATACACCCAAATTAGTTCTAATCGTAGTAAAAGTGTATAAAATTTATTTCCTATGCAAAGGGCTACAAAAAAGTCCCCCCCCTTTCCTGTTAGCGCTTGTACCCAGCGAGATTAACAGCTAAGGCTGCTGGAATGTGTCTTTCCCCTTGGTTCATTCTTCCGTGCACATATTCACTTAACCACTACGTTGGCGGCTGCTGTTGCTAGTTCTTTCACGGGCTGCGGCTGCCGCCACCATCGCCGCCGACGGGGACAACGACAGTTGTGCCGAGCAAATTGATCGCCTGGATTGTTACTATCACACTCATTCATACATGCAAAATTTTCGTATTCAGGAATTTTTTGTATCGTATTCCTAAACGATATCGCTGCAACAAAATATAGCCCGCGACATGCAACCGGTCAGGATTTAGTGTCTGTCCTCTGTGGAAAGAATTCCGCTCATGGACCCAGCCAAAAATATGACTACACAATTGCTTGGATCTATGATGAGCAAATGATGCTCTCTAGACTAAAATCGTAGCCATGGACTACTCCAGGTTGAGTTAACAGCCAATTAAAACCTCCGGCAGCGACCCTACTTCCACAGAAACCAAAATAAAAAATACCTACTTAAAGGACGAATTCACGATGAAAAAGCAACCCATTTCAAATTAACCTAGGGATGGTGAGTGGTACACGAAAGAAGGAAGAACCATGAGAAACGGCCCAGAACCCGAGAAATGGTACCCCTTCCTTGCCCGTTGATTTGAGCATTGATGCGACTCATCGCTGTGCCCTCTTCAACGCTACGCTCTCTCACCTATCTAATCACTCACCACGTATAGACCTGCGGCGAGTGATCAGATGATCGGTGGGCGTGCACTGACCAGCCGCGGCGGGATTAAACCTTAATAGGTCAACGAGGTCAACTCCTCCTGTGCAAATTGTGCTTCAGTTCGCACACTTAGGAGCTCCGCGGGTCCCTCAACCAGGTGAATTCTTCCTAATTCGATTTTCCCTCTGATCGTGAATTCCTTTAACTACCATTTGGTAGCTGTCCAGCCTGAGTGGTGGTGAGCTCCTTCGAAAACTGTCACATTGTAGAGAACTCGAACAAGAACATCCTCTACTTGACAACAACCTTGTTGTTTTGACCATCAATTGGTCATAGTCAGCTAGAAATATTCTTCCGTAGAACCCGATAGTGATGGTTACTTTAAAGGCGGACATTGCGATGAAAAGGCAGCCCATCAGTAATCAAATTAGAGGGCTAACGATGTATAGATCAAGAAAAAACGGATGACGGCCCACAACCCGAAAAACACTACCCCTTCTGATTTCGACATTGATGCGACTCTCATCAGTGCTGCCCTTGTCAAGGCTAACGCTCTCTGCTAGAGGACTCAAGGGTCATACAGCGAGGGGAGGACGTACCGCGCCGATAGCGCGCGGGAGGGTCGTGCACATCGCCAAAGGATATCCTTCGCTGCGAATTGCGTTTCGGTCCGGACCCTTGGGGGACCTGCTTGTCTCTCGACTAGCCTTCGTCGACCTAAGACCTCATTGTGGACTCCTCCCTTAACTATTCGGTCCCATGATCAATGATCGGAATGATCTTCAACGTATGCGAATTCTCAAACCCTCTAATAAAGCTTAACGTCGTCAGCATCAAGTGGTAGGAGGATTGAGACTGTTTGCTGACCGACTAGCTCTCTAGGCGGCCAAATCCGACGCTCAGTACGGTTTTTTCCTTCACAAGCCTCCCCCTCAAGCAACAAAGAACTCCCCTTGTTGATAAACGGGTCAGTTTCTATAGTGCTTAACGTCGTCAGCATCAAGTAGTACGTTGATGGCGCATGGCATCAATCCTGACTCTGAGACATGCGATTCGCATTCGCTAACAGCTGTGGTAAACAATCGGGGAAAGTGTGACCATCTCTGGTCATTGGTATCTGAGTGAGAGCCGTTTAGTCGTTGATCCTTAGCTTGTGCGCCTACTGGGCTGGATGCTTTCTATCGTCACAAAGAGTTTTAGCCAGCTCATGAACGTATGGCCACGTAAGATATTGCTGGCTCTCGACACACCGATAACCCCTCAGAGTTGATTGATTTATTCGTTACTCGTAGGTGCACTGCCCCGTTGTAATAAATCCGCTTCAATAAACTGAGCCACATAAAGTACGTGGAACACTGCTCCCTAAAAGTGCAACCAGTCTTTCCTATATAACCATATTTGGAGCGCCCACTTGACACGTCACAATGGAACTCCGATATGATTGAATTTCATCCAGTAAAACAAACTTACAACCATTCAATCGATTCATTTATTCCCCGCGTACTACGCAAGGACAAGACGGTTGAGGATGGAAAACTTCTTCAGCCATGAATCACTTAAAGGCACATGCCACGACTGAATACGTGGGGGATGTTGCTCTTGAAATTGAACGTAGCTGTCGTAGTAAGTGACGACAGCTATGTTCAATTTCAAGAGCAACATCCCCCACGTATTCAGTAGCATAATTGGCCCGGTGACGTAAGAGAGCAAAAAATCGACAAGATTATATACCCTTCGAAGAGCCGACGCCTGTGCCTTCCGTGTCCAGTAGAGCACCGAAGCAGTGTGTAGCGCTCTATTGTATGGGCGTGACTGCGCACCCCTTACAGTATTCCCACTGATTAGGTGTTCTTCTGATACAGTCATATACGGTAATGAGATGAGGCCATGCAATGGGATTCTCGTGGATGTAGAGCGTAAACACCGCCCTAAGATATGCGCGTGTAGTCATTTCGAAGAGCTTTGCTGTTTTTTTTTTCGCTTTCTTTCATTTTTGGTGGGCTACTAAGCAATCCACTTTCATTTGAAGGCGCAATAACCTTTACCTATTTGATCGTAGAAATGTGCCTTTAAGCCTTCTTCAATCGTGAATTTTGGCCATCTTGATGGCTAACTGTAGGCGGCTACACAGCCGACAAAGTTCAAGCGCCTTGTGAAACCCTGCTTTTGAAACTTTTCACTTCTCGGCACTCAACACCCAATCACAAAAATGGGCCCAGACTTAGTCAGCGCCGAACCTGAGTAAAGTCCCTTCGAAAATTAATCAATGAAGGAGGACATGTTCAAGCATGCACTGGGTGCTCCCATCCAACCGTTGCATGGTTGTAAAGGAATCAAGCGGGTCGAAGCTGTGTCAGCTGTGCCATTGCCCTCACATTTCGAACTGTTTTTTGCCTGTCCCTTCAACGTCGGCCATTGCGTAGGCATCATTGAAACGGCACGCTTGAAATGCGAATATGCAGCGGAACGCTCTCGACAAACAATGTCAAAGCGCGGATCCTCTTGAAACGGAAAGAGCACAACCACGATGTGTTGTAAGTATCGATTTGGACTGAATGAACCCTTGGAAGGCCCCGCTGATTGATCTGAGAAAACCGGCGCACAAAACTAGGTGCCGAATTTTTTTTTGTCCCAGTTCTTGGGGAAAGGTGGGCCGAGCTGGAAGTGGCTGCTAGCAGTGGGTGGGTCAAGACTTTACCAACGCAGCGTAATCATTAACAAGACCCACTCCATGAAATTGAATCTCTACTGTTCCTAGGGTTGGAATTTTCGCGAGCGGCAAAAGGAACACTGAAAACTACCCCTTTGTTTCCTATTACAAGGAAAAATAAATAAGCTGCGGCTGATAACAGCGCAGGGCGTACTCGGGATCCAAGAACGCTTGAGAACTAGTGAGCCACAGACAGAGAGACGTTCTGGTGTTAGCGTAAGAGTTGCTGGAATATGTGCACCTAAACAAGTCATGCGCCAAATAATTACTTTGATAAATGCGGTGTCTTCCCGTGCGACTTTTTTTTACCCTTGTGTACACCGTAAGTACGTACAGTGGCTTTGCTTAGAGCCTTGGCTTTTCCTACGGAACAAGTCCCAGGCTCCTTGATTCTTGAGTCTCAGTAGAGCACATATATTCAGAGATTGCGGGTGGGCCCAGCTATAACTCGCGAAACTCTTTCCATCAAAATCACTCCTATTACGAGGAATTGGGTCAATTTATGCAACACGTCACGCATAACTCAACCAGTCGTTGAGGAGCTCGATGATGCGGCCGATAATTAATTGATAGCCTGCGAGAGGGCGTCGTAAGCGAGCAGCCCGACCGGGAAACTATTTGGTTCCGCCGACCGCAATCCCTATCCAGCCAACAGTAGAATTAATCACGCTCATGTGATGAAAGTAATCATCAGACAAATTGCGTATAGCTCAGTATCGGGGTTGAACCTAACTACGGATAAGTAGCAGTAGCGATATGAAGCCTTTAAGAGTCGAAAAAGCTCGATGAAATATGGATTCAACTTGTCA